AAAGGTCTGCTATTTCTTGAGTTCAAAAAAAGGAATTTGTTTCATCATTAACGCAATTATAATCCGCAGGAACAGTTACAATAGATACTGAATATTATTTTTTTTAGTGAGAAAAGATTATCTCTCTTTTTTGCTTCTACTATTCGTAGTAAAGGGACTAAACATTACAGGTGAGAAATTGCATTAAATGAATTTCGTTTTGTATATCTCTTGATTTTCTTTCTTCTTTTCTTAAAAAGGTGACATGATGGTTGAAAGTTATGGGAACATGACACATCATGTCGACATGTTTCATTATAAACATACAATGTGACTTTCACCTGATCTTTCCACTGACCGGCCAGTGATCACCCCCACATTACATTTCCATCTTTGATCTCGTCGATGTCCCCACCGAAAGCTGGGGAAGGGTGTGCTGCATGCTCACAAGGCGACACTATGAAAGAAAACTTCACATTTTGAAATAAGAACGAGAACCCTGTTTTTCCATATTAAATGTAATTGTTTTATTCAGGGATTCGCCTACTCGTTCCGTGGGTAGTTAGATGATGCTAGGGACAACTTCTGCTATGTCAACTCTTCCCCCTACCAACTCCTCGCCTGTTTACTCATCTCGATGTGTTGACTGGCAAATATGAAAATGGAGGCCTCAGAACAGCGATAAGAACACGACCGTTTCCCGCCAAGGGTAGACCTGCACTCTCCTCATATCCCAAACATAACTGCTGATATAGAACAGCGCTCAAATATAACCTATTTCTGGTTTTGTTGCCACTTGATCCGTAAAAATCCCTCATCCACCCCTTTAATTTTCATTACCATTTGGTTAAAGTAGGTGCCGCTTAAAAGACCGAACTTCAAAAGGACCCATCCACTGGTCTTTCAAAGAGAAACAATTAAGAGATAAGACCAAATCTTTCCTCTCTACGTGGGTGTCCATAGTATCACACAATTACAAATTTCCATCTGATATCAAATGACTTATTCAAAACCAGGAGAAACTCATGAAAATGCTGAATAGATATGATTCTCTCTCCGTTCTATTTAATACAACATATTTAATCGAAGGATTGCCGCCTATATGTTTAAAAGATGCAGTTATTGTGGATTTTGTAAATAGTAGAGTATTTGACTTAAATGTGATCCTGAAATGTAATTTTCTAATTCTCTTTACTTATAAAACCTTCACAATATGTGTAAATGTCATCCAAAGAGGTTTTTTTTACCCGTAATCAATTATTCTTGCATTTTCAAGACATTATTTTTCCGGCAAACAACTTCTATTTTCTTTAATTCAAGATTGCATTTATTTTTTTCTTTCGTAACAATTAGAAATCAATTCTTCCATTACTCGTAAAACTTGCATGTTACGAAACTTCAAAATCACGCCTTTTCGTGAAAATAGAAGTATTGACACCCGAGATTTTTAAAAATTTATTTCAAATTTTGTGTGTTTGTGTGTGCATGCGTGAGAGGGAAAGAGAGAGAAAGAGCGAGAGAGAGAGTGAGAGAGCATGCGTGTATATGTATGTATGTCCGCGTGCGTGTATGTGTGTTGAAAGAAGAGAAAGCAAAATACTAGCCAATACTCTAAATTCACTTCTCTTATCTCAGGCTACCCAGCCCTCCATATGTCATTGCTGTTACCGAATCTTTCTGAAACAGTTGATCATTCATGTAGATATTTTCTCTCCGCTCATTTTGTTTTTGTATATTTTGCATTCAGACATACAATTAACCACTGTATATTTCTCTAGTCATAGGATTTTTATGACGTATTTCTCAAGCAACAGATCTTCATAATGTCTAACATAATAACGAAAGCTTTCATCTTACAAAATCGAGATTGCTACAATAGAGGTGCAGAGTGACGTAACAGTTAATGGCAAATGGAATCAGCGAACTGAGTTCGAGTTTCGGACGAGGCACTTTGCATTCACGTCATACTAATACTCTTAAGAAATCCATTACTCTCTTCCAGCTTCTCTCTACCCTTGGTTGGCAACCAGTCTAGAAGAAGGACAAAATCAAGAGTAAAACCCCGAAGGCAGATCGGTGGTCAAATCTACCTCTTTTTTTCGTAATCCTTGAAACCTAAAAGGCCACTGGTTGTGCCATCTCAACATACCACTGGAAAAAATAACGAAGTCCCAGTGGGTGAGATTTTCCGTATACATAACCCCCGCACACTTAAAATAATAAATAAAATTCACATCTAGGTTGCTGTTCAATTCTTCTTTTTGTACAACCATTGACAACAACGGAAATGAGGATGAAACAAAACGAGGAAGAAAGTTTCTTATTGCAACAGAAATGACCGCGTCTTCTAAGTTGTTTTATATTTGACATTTTTTAAGCTTAGGCATAAAGCCAAATAAAGAAAAGAAGATTGTATCAGGCCAATATTCGAATTCGGGAGGGCCATGAAAAGCTTAGAAAATCAACATTCAAAATTCCTAACTTTTACCTCTATTCGACCACCGATCTTATAACTCTTCAATAAATTGTTGTCACGTTCCTTTTAATTCTAGCTGCTACTGCTGTTTCTTCTTCTTCTTCTTCTTCTTCTTCTTCTTCTTCTTCTTCTTTGTGTTATATCCCTTCACAACATCATGTTCTTTATAGCTCTTGGTAAAGTCGTCTTTTTGCTATTTCTCCTAATCCCTATATTGCCAACCATTTACACAAGCTTGTTAGGTCGATTATTCACTGCTTTCTTTTGCCCCTCTTGCCTTCAATATGTTCTGTGCGTATCAGATTCTACAAGACCACTTTCCTCATTATTTGCTCTATAAATTTCAACCGCCTCTTTCTAATTCTAAGCATAAACATCATTCTTATTTCCATTTTTCTGAAAATTTCCTCGTTGCTTGCATGTTTCAGCCATAGGATTCTCAACATTCTTTTTGTCGAACCAGATTTCTGTTGCTTTCTGTATCCTCTTAACTTGTTGAAGTCGGAGTTCAGTTCCGGACAGAGTCAGAGTGCTGCCCCGCAGAAGCTGACCGAGAAATTCCACGCCCTTCCGACTTCGACTTCCTACCAAAAGCAAGGTATATTGACGAACGACTTAAGATACCAAAACTCGCTTAAGAAACTCAAAAGTGTCACAAATCCATAGAAACGGGCTGAGAGAGAAACACACTCCTGTATATAGCAGACGGATAAAGCATATTTGTACCTCTTGAGTTTTGTTTTATTGTTTCTTTTACTTACGCTTGTGAGATATCACCTTCAACCTGGATTCAGCTTGCACTACGGCCCGACGCCTGATTGATTTTGTCTACCTAAGATTAAAGTCACAACGTGGGTAGGATAGATTTGAGATCAAAGTAGTTACTTCGGTAACTAGACGTTGGAAGTGAGCTGAGAACGACAAGTTGGTATCGAATCGGGAACGACCAGATCGACCGGTACACAGGCTGGTGGCGGCGACAAGGAGTCAACGCCAAAACGCTGGTTGAAGAAACCTTACAACTTCGCGCCGCAACTGGGAGTTGACCACGGGCCGACAGCGCAGTGTCACATATTGGCGTCGTGACCAGAGGACGTCACATATTGGCACTGTGACCAACAGTGGGTGTCACAATAAGTTCTGATTGTTTATTTGCTTTGGTCTGGGAAAGTAATTATAGCTATTTTTCCTCCAGGCAGAGCTTACAGTCTTTGGGTTGATTGCTGTAGGCTGCCGTTTAAGGAACATGTTAATGTTTTATTATTTTTGTTTTTAGAAAAACTTTGTTTTTATTTTAGTGAATCTTTGGATATATATATATATATATATATATATATATATATAATATATATATATATATATATGCATGTTACATAGAACAATACAAAATACAAAACTGTACATCTTGTTTCAACGTTAAATTAATGTTTTCTTCAGGTGGGAAACCATGATGGTACTAAAATATTTTATTTAGAAACATAGTTATCGACGCACAACTCCGTCTTGTGTATATATATATATATATATATATATATATATATATATATATATATATATATATATATATATATATAATAAACTGTTACATTGGAACATGCCTGTTCTGACGTAGTAGTTTATAATAAATATATATTGCTCTATTCTTGTATTGAGCCCTTTTTAAATTAATGTTATGAACGTTTGAATTTATATTCTTTTCGTTCTTTTTTACATTTATATATATATATATATATATATATATATATATATATATATATATATATATATAGTTTTAAGGTATGGTATATTTGTGAGTTAACGTGCTCAATATCAGAGATAGAACGTATATAAATATGAAAGTATTATTAAGAATTATTAAGTTTCTAATATTGTCAATAAAGAATTTGTATGGCCACTAACAATTCCATTTAGTTATAGGATTCAAGGAACACGCAATGGTTCGCGCAAACCGTCTAATAAAATTACACGTGTTGAGTTCACAGAATTTGCTTGTTCATTTGTTTGTTGTTTATCGATAAAAGATTTAGGCAGGTAAAAAAAAATTAGAAACAGTTTCTAATTTCACAGACAAAAAATTAGGAATATAAAATGAAATGATAACCCATTCTTAAAAAAAAATTGAATCCAACTACTGATTCTGTATTGTGTAGAGTAAATGTTTGTATGCACAAAACATAGAAAAGGATATATGTGTGTGTTTGCATCTGTGTGTACTAAGACTCTCTTACCGGCTGCTAACCAGAAATCGACAAGCACGAACATCATTTTTTATATGAATTTTCAACTCCTTTATCACTTGTGAACATTGTTTCTTAGGTTCAATCCCTGATGATGTTAGCTATAATTTTTTTTTTGTTTTTAATAAACTTTTCTCAATAATTAATATACAACGTTAACCATGGTTCACAAAGATGAAAACTTTGGAAGAAGAAACCAAAAATCTCCTTTTCCATTGAGCATTTTTTTTAGTGCTACAATTTATATGAACGGAATAGTTTATTTTAATTTGACTCAAAATAATATTTTTTTATATTTTTATTAACAGAATAAAATGCGAAGAAGAAGAAAATACAAAGGCATATTCCCTTGGAATCTTATGACTGAGGTAAACCGTTTCTCTCTCTCGCTCTCTTTCTCTCTCTCTCGCTCTCAGATACACACACACACACACATACACACACATATACATACACACTACAACAAAAATTATGCGTATTTTAGTATATTTTCTAGCTTTGGATGAGGCACCTACAATGGTTCGGAAGTTTGTCTCACAGAAAATCTCACAGGTATCATGAGTCCAATCTTCACGGGTGCCAGGTTTGCTGTGGAGGTGAGGAGTGACTTAACATTTAAAGGCACGAAAACAGAATCAGCGAAAATGGTTCGAGTTTCAGCCAAGGCTATTTGAGTTCACTTCGTATTTGGTAAAGGTATGAATTTACTCCTTTCCATCGTAGGTAGCTGGTGCTCATGAGCCTTGGTTGGCAACCAGTCAATGAGAAGGCCAGTTCGGATTCCAAAACTAGGAGTGGAACCCCTGAGGCATCAAATGCAGCCTAAAAGACTGTCGGTTGTGAATAAGATAAAAATAAAACAACTTTGGAATCTGAGAGAGTAAGATCGTGCTTGTGCGATCTAATAAAACATTCAAATTTGGATTGCCGTAGCAATCTCTTATTTTGCCCTGTTACCGACATCGTTGGAACGATGCATAACCGAAAGAACAAATAACCATACTCTGTTTAGCCAAAGAAAATGGAATCATAAATAAAGCTTTATTAAGTTAACTTAAGTCTAAGATGACATTTCTTTAGTTTTTAAATCTTAGCTTTTTGCAACTTTGTATGAAATAATTATTGCAAAAAAAATGATTAACAAATTTCAGTAAGCAAGCAAACGTTCACAATATCTTGTACATCATCCACACATTATTTTTCTAGGTGCCGCCAAAATGGATGCGTTTTTTCTGAAATGAAAGAAAAAAAAAAAACAAAAAAATATTACCCCCTGTTTTTAAAAATAAATTACTAAAAATCAGGGAATTATCCGATTTATTTTTAGTACTTATTCACTATTCAGTAATGTATAAAATAAATTGTGTTGCTGAAAGATGCCATTTTATTAGAAAACTTTGAAGAAATATGGAGGGGAGGCACACACACACACCATTTTGATACATTGTGAATACTTTTAAAATTGGAGTATAATGACCCTGAAGATATTTCAGTAAAAACTTTGCAATATCATATCAGAAAATCCTGAAAAATTGTCCTGAAACCTTACCAGCGAATAAAGCTCAAAAAATAATTGTTGTTGAGAGTTGGTGCTTGCATAAATTTAATAAAATAAATTATTTTCTTTCAGATTTGACAGAGGAAAATCTACAATGAATATTTATTTTTGAAAAATTTAGTTGTATTTTTTCAGTTCGATTTTTAAATTCTTCCAGTTGATGAAGATAAAAGATATCTGTTTTTATTAAATAAAGAAGTGTTTGAAGAATCGAAAAATGTAAAGTTTTATTTCTGCATCAGAATAATTTTTAAAGGAATTTTATCTTGTTTATTATTTGTACAACAGGTAGATATTTTTTTATTTTTTATTTTTTTTGGCTTAGATTTTAATAATCTCCCGGGAGGGAGATTAATATCTACGTCAGTGAGTTTTATCAGTCCCCTAAACACATATAAACCTTTTGAGCACTTTCTTTAGTTTAATAACTTTTAAAATCAGAACAATTATAAAGACTTCATTGGTTGTTTTGTAGGCACTACTTTTAGATAGACTAAAAAAACAGTGGCAACAATATTTTGCACATGTAAATGACAGGTGAAGAAATGAATTTCAAGAGGGCGATATTTTTTACTAAAATGTGAAATAATAAAATACAGTAGTGCGCATGAAAACACTAAATATAGAAAAACATTTTAAAGTAGATAAAAAAAGCATGCATAATGAAAAAATGCCCCAGATTTAATAAAAACAGTTTTATCGCCAAAATCTTTGTTATTTTTAATTTTTTAATTTTTTTATTTTTTAACCAAAACATTTTTTGATTATTAAATTACATTTTTTAATCCATTTTAGAACCTTCTAAATTTTGGTGAGAAATTTTGTTTTCTAGCGTCAACTAGTAACCATAAATTAGTATCGGAAATTTGAGGTCTTTTTATGGTGCAAAACAAACTGGTTGGAAATTCTTGCAAAAATCAAATAATTGTAGAATTTTAATGAAATTTCTATTCATAAATGTATGAAATTATTTTTGAAAAGTTTCGTTTTTAGAAAATCTTGGTAAAAATATAATTTTTTTTGTATCTATTACTCCCAAAACTTTCAAGAAATTATTTTTTTTGCGCTTAATACTGATATAAATTTAATTAGAATAAATAAATGGCAAATTCCGTCCATCCGTCCGTCTGTGTGTCTGAAACGCCTCTAACTTGGGCTACATTTGTTCTACATAGACATATAATACCTTTTTGAAATCAGGATGACCGAGATTAAAAAACCTGCCCTTCATCTGGTGCTTGAACATCTAGTATTGGGATTTGTGCCCAGATGAGAAGGGAACAGTTAAAAATTCAAATTTTAAAATAACTGAAAAAATTATTGATTTTAAAAGTTTTTATTTTATATTGAGCTTATAGTTATGCAAAAACTTTGTAAATTTAAGTTTTTTTTTTGTGTTTTAAATCCAGTTTAAAATATCTTTAAAACATTGTGAATTAAGGAAATCAATTTTATTTCTTCAAAATGTCAAGGAATCAGAATTAAAGAGAGAGGTTTAGTGACGTGAGGTTTTGACGTTGAGAAACTCAATTTTCGGCCTGAGTTGGAATTTCGGCCCAAATTGGAACTTCGACCGGAATTGGGCTTTGGGACGGAACTGGACTTTGGGACGGAATTGAACTGTGGGCTGGAATCGGACTTTTGGCCGAAATAGGACTTTGGGCCGGAATCGGACTTTGGGCCGGAATCGGTCTTTTGGTCGGAATTGGACTTTGGGCTGGAATCAAACTTTGGGTCGGAATTGAACTTTGGGCCGGAATTGGACTTATAGCCCGAATCAAAGTTAAAGTGAGGTTTTGACGTTCCATGGAATGAATTAAGGAATTCAAAGTTATTTCTTCAAAATTATCATTGCCGTTTTGTAAGTTCCTTTAATTTGGGCCTGGAAACCCAATTAGCCTTTCTTAAGCTAGTATTAGAAAGACAAATCCTAGGTAAATTTCAATCATAATTTTTTTTTTTTTTTATCAAACAAGACCCCCAGTTACAGAACATCTGCTCTGAAACTTCAAATAAAACTAAAACATTATTTAATTAGAAAAGCTTTTAATTGTTTTTATGAATAAGATACATTAAGGACACTATAGTCTTAAGAATAAAAATCTTCACTGAATTTTTACAAAAATTTTCTTTTTTTTTCATTTTAATTATAATATTTTATAAAGTTTTATGTTTTTTAAAATTGTGTATTAAATGCCTCGTTTTTAGTAACATTTTGGTTTTATTTTATACCTTACTCTTTCCCCATACGCCCCTTACAACTACTTCAATTAGTAACCCTTTACTTGGAGTGCTTCTTGGGTTTTGTATTGGATGAACAAAAGTAAAAAAAATTATTTCTCTTGCTTTTTTATTGAAGCTTCTGGCGTCTACTTTGTTCAAGGGAGAAAACTGCTGCAATATTATTGGAATTTATTCAAAGAAGCTTTCTTAATAATACTATCTCTGTCCCAATATAGTTGTTACACTTATATATACATATTTTATACGTGAATTGTAACAACTAGTATGGGACGGAAGTAATAATAATTTTTTATGCGTTTTTGACATTTTACTTGCTTTTTTATCGCATCTCCAGGATCGTCAAATCTTGTTGCTTCAGGACGAAAACTCTTCTTAGTCTTATGAATTCATGTCGGCGACATCTTTGTAGCTGTAGAGTGTTTGTTGACAATACTCAGCAAAATCGTAGATTAGGTGTGTATGTAATTAATAATACTATATTTGAATTTCTTAGGTGAAGTATTGCCAATTAGTAATTTTTGGTATTTCATTTTTTCTTTTTTTTTTTTTTTTGCTTTTTAATGCTACGATCGTTATTAAGTTGCACGAGTTAAAAAAAAAAGTCCATCAACAGAATTGGGGAAATGTGATAAAAAGCAACAGAAATTAAGAATAAGAAGCACCCGTCAAAACTGAATGACTGACATTTCAAGTCAGAAATCCAAATCATATTACAACAGTTGCCTCCCTTGAGTATATACATTTACCCACCTCCTTTCAAAGCTTGCTTTTAGTACAAGTCAGTTTAAAAGGGGTTCACTGCCTGCATAAGAACGCATCTAGAAATTTTGTAGTCATTCGTCAACTTACTTTTATGGAAACCTCAGGCTTCTTCGACTACCTTTGATCCTACATATTTAAGTGTAATGGGGAGGTGCTGCGTGTGGGAATTGACTCTTGGAATTTAACATAGATTTTTTTTTTTTTTTTGCTTCAGGCCACAAAAGTACAAAAAGACAATAATGATGATTTGAAAGTTGTCATTGTTGTGTTTACAGTCTAAGGGAAATAACTTAACATTAACCCTGTAATTTCAATGCTCTTCAGATTACATATTTGCAAATTAATACATAAAATGGACTGGCTTCTTTAAGCCAGAATTAATGGTTATAAAATGAATATTTCTAGTATTTAAATATTGTGCCAAAAGCACGAAAAAAAAATTAAATATTGATTTAATACTGTAAATGAACATGCTTTCCAAGTTTAACTATTGTAAAATGTTTTCACATTCAAAGTCCTGTTGGTAATGTAGAAATAAAATTGTGTAAATCACCAATGTATAATATAAATAGAGAAATACAATTTGTTAAAAGAAAAAAAAAGAGATTTTAATTGTAATGTAGTTTACTATTGTACTCGTCAGGCAGAATAAATGTTGTTATCTGTCTCTCTGATTTTGTGCATTCATTTTTAAGACACAATAGTCATGAGCAAATAAGAGTCAAAATAAAAAAAAATATTAGTAAAAAATTACTAATAATGGTTGATTTCATTTCATAGCCCATTTCCAATAAGTTTAATGGT